GACCGTTAAAAATGGTAAAAAAAAAATTTACCCTATCCGAATTCGATTCCGAGCACCCCTGTAGCCATATCGAAGAAAAATAAACAACGGGTGAGCCAAAAACCGTGGGCAAAACCCGACACTGCCACCGCGGGCAAAACCCGGCACGCCACCGCGGGCAAAACTCGGCACCGCCACCGCGGGCAAATCCCACAACCGCCTCCGATTAGTCCCTTTCCGTTTTTCATTTCGTACGATTTTTCTACTGTTGTATTCACCGTTATGCTTTCTACTGATTGATCGAAGAAAAATACCAAGCTGCGTAGGTGATCCAGCAGAGCCGCCGCACCGAAAAATCTCACTGCCGGTAGGTTTTCGTTTTTTGATTTTTTTTCAGACCAACCGAGGCCCCCTAACATGTTTTCTCATAAGAATTGGTATAAAATCGGTCCAAACTAGCCAAAACTAACCGAAAACAGTCAGGCTGAGGTAAACCACCATCATAGGCAGTGGTGCCGTCGCCGGAGCATGGTGGTGCCGCTGTGCTGGAACCCCAAAATTTGCTAGAAAAGGGTTTTTAACATTGATTTTGGGTTTATGGATATTTTTAGGTACGTAAAGTGTGTTTTTATCTCCACAGAAAAATTCAGAAAATCTAAGGACCATCAGTAGGCGCAGTAAAAAGTTCAATATTTCAGACATCAATTCGAGTAAGAATCCATCACCTTATTCTCTGTTATGGAATTAAAGTTTAATTATCAATAATACGGTATTTTGTGTAATTTAAAAAATTTTGAGAATTAATTACAGGTTAGTAATGGAGACGGAACCGGTTAGTTATTTATTGTTTGTCCTATTTAACTTATGGTTGATTTTACAGTTTTAAATGCATGATAATATACTGAAATAGTTAAATTATTCAGTTGTGCTTTCTTGATGCATGTATTTTTGTCTTGCGTGATTACGGTTAATTTGTGAAACTGAAAATTAAAATGTAAACAAGAAATTATTTGATTTAGTGAATTAATGAAACGATTGTCTTACTAGATATCATTGGAGATAGTGGATGGAACAAGTATATAGGGAACCCTACCGTGAACCTTGCCTCATACCGGACGGGATATCAAGAAATAATATTTTTTACGCTCACATCGAACGAGATATGGGGACGACCCGATTCACCCTCATACCGAACGGGGTATTAAGACATATTATTTTTAGTACTTATACCGGACGGGGTATGCAGACAGCCGGTTAATTGATAAAGTTTAGATATTAGTTCACGCGTAGGTGAGATATTCTTATGGACCCCTAGGGATACCAATAAGCAAATAAAAATAGAAAATTGTTATTTTTACTCACTTAAAAATGAGATCATGATGTTATTTAAGTTATTATCTCTATAAGTGGGTTTTGAAAATCTCACAACATTAAATATGTAATAAATGGTTTTATTTATGGTAAATAAATTTACTTAAATTAAGAGCTTCATTAGTTATTTTTATAATTTTTATCAATCTTTATTTTCTGTATCAGTGAGTAGTGTGATATTCTTACTGGGGTAGTATAGCTCACCCATTCATTAAATATTTCAGATCAAGAGGATCAAGATCCAGATCTCAATCAATAAAGGGGTT